CTCTAACTAACTGAAGTGCACACTAGCTCTAGCACTAGCACAGACTAGAGAGATCTTGTTTTCGAAAGCATGTAATTTCTAATAATTTTTCCCTTTTTTTTTTCCTCTACTGCTGTGTAATGAGTTATTTCTTAGCATATACTTAAACATCCATCAACAAAGTTTTCCCATAGTTAATGTTATCGTTGGTGACATGTCTTCGAAATAAAAAAGATCGTCCTTTTTCTTCTTCTTCTTCGTCAGACAGAGGTCACAACTGTGATTTGCGGATACAAGGAGCTGAAGAAAATAGCCAATGTAAGTGGACAGCTGGACACCGTTAAACGAATAATATGCATGGATGATGAATTTCAGTTCGATGGTTCATTAACTTCTGGAAGTAGCAATTGGACTGTCACGTCCTTTTCGGATTTGGACAAGTTGGGCCGTGAAAATCCAGTCGAACCAAACATGCCCCTTTCAGCCGATGTTGCTGTGATAATGTACACAAGCGGCAGTACGGGCATGCCTAAGGTCAGTATACAGTTTTTTTGTTATTTTGAGCAAAGTTTAAAGCTTTGTTAAATTACAAAAACTGGCCAACGAGGTTTAGCTTAATTGGGCTGTTTTTCTCTCTTTTGTACTCATCTTGGAAAAAAACTCATTTGTCTTGCCTGTGGTCAATACTTCAAGAGATTCTTTAGGGTGTGTTTGTTTATAAATTATCTCAATTCATACTCAAAATCTAAATTATCAATATAATTAAGTGTTACCAATCATTCATTTTTATATATCATATCAACTTTTACTCACATAATTTTAACTAATCACTTCACACCACCTCTTTCCTACGTTCAAATCAACTTTAATTATTTTATTTTAGATATTATTTAATATAAACTCAAAATCCCACTAACAACTAACTATACAAACTTTTCAAAATTAACCATAGTAACCAAAAAACTAGTTTTGAGCTGATATATTTGTATCCAAGCACGCCCTTACATGTCTCCTCTTTATTTCATTTTTTATTCTCTTTATCTATTTATTTTTGTAAGTTCAAAAAGAAGCATCTCAACATACTAGTGAGGATATCTTTCTCTGGCTCAACAGAAGCACACACTTAAGTACCCATGCTTGTTTTTATGTTGTCTTGTAATAATCAAATCGATAGCTAAATTTCGACTAGATATAAACTGTTCATCAATATCATTTGATTCTTCTCGGCTCAAATTCTTGATAATCGACATTTTTTTTTTCACTCGTTTAGGGTGTGATGATGACACATGGCAACATTTTAGCCACAGCTTCTGCAGTGATGAATATGGTTCCTGGACTAGGAACTAAGGAGGTTTATTTAGCTTATCTGCCACTTGCTCATGTTCTTGAACTAGCAGCCGAGGTACCATGTAACTTACTTTTTTATGTACAAAACTAAAATCTTTTTTTTTTTTTGGTTTATTCATTTTCTTTTATCCTTCATTCTGTGTTTAATAAAGAATATCATATATTAAGTCTTACAATTCCAAAGGCTTTACTGCTTCAGTTTTTGGAAAATATCATTGTATTGCAGATTTAAATAACTATTCAACATCTCTCTCAAACCCTTCTATTTGTAACAATCAGATGTTTTTTTAATT